TTTCTAAGCCCGCCCTTCTTAAGCAGCGTTTTATAGCTGTACTTATATCATTTGAGATGAAGGGTAGGATAAACGGGATCCTTCTATCGCTAGAGTTGTCGTTTGGAGGCCTACGATTTCCTCTACACCTATCCTGAGCTACAGTTTCGTAGCCATTAAAAATGGCTATTTGCTGTGCCAAGTTCCGGGACTCTTCTCTCTGCTCTCTTCCCGTGCACACGTTGGTTGCTGTTCGAAACATGTTTCTTATAAGCGCCCTTTTCGTGTGAGAGGGGTGAGAGGAGAGGTAATGAACCAAGATGTTTTTACTACTTGGCTTTCGGTACCACTTTGTAATGTAGCCATTTTCTGATAGGTGAATTCGTACGTTCAAAAATGGAAGCCATTTTTCTTTTGGCTTTTCTCGGGTGAACTTGATAAACTGACTATATGTCGATAAGCTTTTCTATAGTGTCGATAGTAAGTCTTGATGGATTTTTTTCGATACTCAGCGTGTAGAGAAGAATTGCATGGAGAGGACTGCATTTCCAAGCTGAACTTTTAGTTTTTTTTCCCTGTGACTTCTATCATTCCTTGAGATTTCTACGGCTTTCTGTTTACAATGCTTATAGTCATCATGAGAGAATCGGTCTTGGCTTCTCGTTTACAATTATCAAGGTCGTCTCAAAAAGACGAAAAAAACGAGTTTACTTTATGAATTCGTATCTTTCCACTAGTTCGTTGAGGGACTAGATTGTACATGGTGTGCAAGAGTAGTCCTAAGAGCTGTATTTGGTCTAAAAATCGAAGGCTATCACTTTTTTTTATGAAGAATTCTGGCCAACGGCGTGGTGAGCCTCCTACTACAAACTTGGCATGCCATGAAATCCAGTCCCTAACGGGTCTTGTCTAGCAGTTCTTGTTAACAAACATGACGTGTTCGATTCACTTGATTTTCGAAATCTTGGAGTGTTTCCAGCACCAACCACTCTGTACGTTAACGCTGAACAATCTTTTGCCCCATTTGAATGGAGCATCAGAAGCAATTCTGTTCCCTATTAGCATCTTCTTTTGAGGTTCGATCGAAAGCCAATTTTTTATGTGTGCTGTCGAAATAGACTCGTACAGTTATTTTATCCTCGAGATGGGGTGAGTTTAACGTAATGCTTAGAGCTACCGTGCAATGGACAAGTGACCGTTAATTGGATTCCACGCCCCGATGTCACGAAGTTATCCATCCTTCTGGGCTGGGGAGATAGGCACCGGATTTGTACGCGGAGGTAGCAGCACTAACTTGATACATCTGTAGGCCACCACAGTCATTGTATAGGTCAAGTACGAATCCAATCACCTTTAACGATGATTTGTGGAGTCGAATGCTTGATTTGTTTCTCAAGGATTGATCAATGCCGAAGGCATTATCTTTTATGCTTTGTCGTCCAGAGTGGTTGTATATAACTTTGATGAGGTTATCTCGCTTTCTTGACCCACTATCTTTACGCCAATGACAATGTCGCTGGAGAATGACGAGATCCTGGTTGTGACGTTGTGATACACTTCATAAAGTATCTCTGTGTATTGATCAGTACGCCCTTGCTTTCTACAGTATCCATAACCGCTTTTCTTTCAGCTGATTAAAAAGCCTTCAAATCAACTAAGGTGAGGAGAGAAGATATTGTTTATGGTACTAAATGTGCGTACAAGCTTTGCTTCCTCGCATGACTGTCGTTTTTACAGTGTCCTCTCAATGTTGAAAGCGAATCGACAGACGAAACGACAAACCGCAATCAAATTGGATGATACTTGTCAGTGTTATGTAGGTCGCCGTTTTTGTACAACAACAGTCTTCTGGTTTTCCATTGATACGCATTCTCACAGGTAATGTGCAAAATGCCGAGTCTGTGCTCGGAAATAGTCCTGTTTTAGCCGAGTACTTTACGGTTCTTCACCGACAAGATAACATTTTGGACTCTGTAGATGAGAACCATTGGGACTACACATCCATCCCGTTTAACATCAAGTATGTAAATATGGTGATCAAAGATATCGAAGTCGTGGACGATCTTTCATATTACACCTGGAGTCACCCGCTTTGATCGTTATCGTAAAGCGATGTTCTTGTGGAAATAGCTAGGTGCTGGTTTGCGTTACGAATGTGCTTCCTAACCTGTATAGCTTCAACTACTACTGCTGGCTTTTTGTCCTTACATTGGTGAATATTCGATCGCAAATGAACTTAATTTTTGGAAGAGTTTTCACTGATACATGACATTATTAACTGCGACTAGTTTGGTGTCCTCATACAGCAAATATTTCAGGCTTCACAAATGCAGTCTCAGCTTGGATGAGTTGGCACGAGTTGCATGTAGAGAACGAGAGTCAATCACTAAATGAAGTTGTTATTACTGTATTTATATCTGTAATGAGCAACTTGTACTTGCATGTTTTCATATTTTGAAACAGGTTGATTCACCAATAATCTAATTGGTAGAGCCCGTGGCTTTGTGATGTCATTCTAATTATTGTGCTTATACATGGTCTACTAGAAGGAAACCGACTTATACAATTTATCTTTCCACATTTGTTGGTAGTTGACTCATTTTATCCGGAATAACCACAACGGACTTTATGAACTGACTTATTAATTCATTCCAGTCTCTGTTTCTCTCTTGCATTCTGGTCAAGTTCACACCCACATCTAACTAGTATTGGTAGATTCGCTATATGTTATCCCATTTTGTAAATCCAGTGAACTTAGAAAACGTAGAATATTTAAGACAAACTCTGTTCATTTACACCACACTTAACCATTTTTGAAACCACTGTTCTATATGTGTATATACAGAAAGAAATAAACCTCCCGCAATATACTGAGAAAGGAAAGCCATCTGGTTATCACAAAAGTGGTCACATTGCCCATAAAGTTAGCTCATAGAGAGCTCTTAGAGAGCGGAATAAACTAAACATTTAGTTCGGAATTTTCTACTACATTTAGAGTTACGAGTTCATTCATGAGACAACAAAAGTGCAGAGTTCTTAGAAAACTACTGACTAGTTGTTCCTATAGTGAAATTTTGGCATGCTCATAACAGAAGTATATTCGGTTCCAACAATAAAGTGAGGAAACAGTAGTGAAACGTAACACGATAGACATTATGCCAAAGATATGTGCAAGAGTGAAAATAGAAAGTCATTTTTCGGAATCCTTTTCAGTTTCTTCATAAAATGTGAGCAACAGAGGAATTACCATGAATATTACTATCACACCAATAAGTAATCCCCATATAGAACAAACAGAATCGGGAGGGCGAGCATCAACAAAATGAAATGATCCAGGAATACCATCCTCGGGTAGAGTCTCCCTTACTTGGGCTGTAAGTATCTATTTATAACATCTTCGCGTATAGAATCTAGGTGACCCTAGACAGTATGTGTTTTACAATCAACAAATAGCAAGAGGCGCTCTAACCATAGATCGCTTACCAATAGCGGCATCAGTTTTGTTGAATATTTCCTCCACACTGGGATCTCTTGAGCTCCTTTCCTCACTTAGTAAGCAAGAACGTTGATCAAAATCTGGAAGTAGCAAGTCACTGGCATCATAATCAGTGCATTTTATCATCAAGTGAGCTAAACTACGAGGTATTGCGATCCACACTAACCTATTACACAAGATTAGCTGAGCATAAACGTTATAAAAAGTTGTTTTATTAAAAGATATTGAAGAGATTCGAGTTAAAACCACCTATAATCAATAATAAGAGCTACATGGTACATGACTACCGAATGAATTTTATCGTTGTAAACCGACTTTCATTTAACCTCAGTATAAACGACCAATGCAATAGCTTATCAGTGAAACAAGGTTATTTTATAAAATAACACCCTTTAGGCAATATTGTAACCAAATTTTGAGGAACACTGCTAACTCCAAGAAATCCATGAAGTTAACAGAATTTAGTGGTTACTGCTAATTGTATAGAAAAGTAGAAATATTTTTGTTATGCCGGTAATCACCTTTTGGAAAAGAAACCCGTAGATTGAAGTTTGTCAACAAACTCGGGTCTTTCGAGATATTTACCGGTATTCTAATTTCTTCAATGCAATTCTCGGTTTCAAACACTCAAACGAGGAGCAAAAGCAAACTGGTTTACAGCAATGAGGGTGCATTAAGCACTCAGATAAACATAAATAAGTTAGGACCAAATTTAACATCGTATGCGTTGAAACCTACGCCAACAGCGGATTCAAATTATTTCTCTGTTGAGTTCGTCCCAGAAAACGTTGCAAAAGCTCAGCCAGCCTTGAATCAAGATCTGACAATGTTTTTAGAGTTTTTCTCCTAGAAATGACACCAAGGTACTGAAAAACGTCCATAAACATATAGGACTCAGATCATACGGCTATCCTACGACAGCACATTGTAGAAATAGCAATGAGTGAGAAAGTACTGTCTAAAATAACTGCAAATAAGCTTTGCTTGCTTTATGCAAATTGTCCCATCAAATAGAAAATAAAGCATATGTAAACCGCAAAAGACCAACTTTCTATAAACCTCGGCATAAGTAGTCGATATATTTGTGTGCTCTTATGAACCGCCCCTACCGACAAAGATATTTATTTCGGCTATCAATAACCGTGGACCACCAACTCGGATCATCGGCTCTGATGAAGACGAAGACGTCGAAACGTTAGGCAAATAAAGCTTTTTTATCAACCGCGTTTAAACTCAAAAATTTAAAAACATGTTGATTATTCAACTGCCGAGGTTAAATGACGGTCCGTTTAAAGATTGTTTTGCCCTTGTTGAGCTGATGCGATCCTACTCGTAATAGCAAAGCTCTTAGGAAGCCATCGGCCAACAACACCAACAACAACAACGACAAGTTCTACCAACCTCGCATCAGCTCAACAAGAGCAGTTGATAAGAATATACGTAAACGAGTTGTAAAACATATAAAATTAAGCAAATATCTAAGAAATACCAATAATGTGTTCGTCGTCTGACGAGAAGCTGCCGGTTCCAAGTGCATATCTCATACGACTGATAGGAATCTTCACAACAGTTAGGGCTATGAAATCTTGGTCCTTCACGAGATTATTTACTCTTTTAATATCCGATACCTAAGATCAGTATTGAAATTGGTTAAGGACCTTTTTAAATACAAGAAAAACATAGCACTTACATTTACTGAGTATTGGATCGCAATCTTATTGAGTGTGTCATCAGCTTTAACTTTTCTCTCTACGATTACCGTATCTCTACATGATAGCACATCCCGACGTCGTTCCTGATCCGAAGACGATCGGCCAATCCTCGATCGCATAGCGTATTCAGAATGCGTTTCGTTCGTCATTTTTGACGTTGACGAACCTATTTTTGTGCTGTAAGAAGTCGATATGAAGAGATGGAGTTTCTCCATCGACATTTAAAAATAACACAAATGAAGTACATCATCTAAAAATCCAGAAACAAAATGGGACTAAACTTTGACGTGGTTGTGTAAACACGGACACGAATCTGTCTGGTGCCTCACTCAAATACACGAACTCTTTTCGTTGCCTGATTTTCATGTTTTGTAAAACTCTCCGAGCCGAAAATTGCACAAATCCAGGAGCTGTCGTTCTATTTCTGGATTCTCGATAGCTTTCTTTCATAACACTCCTCTCTCCTATTGTAAATCGTTATCCGAATAGGCTAACTTGGTTTAAAAGGCGTGCTAAATTACTTGTTATCTCGTGGGAATTCTCACAACCTACTTTCTATTACCCTTGGCATTGGTCAAATAATTCTCGATATTCTTGTTGAGCAAACGCGAGTACCGGATAAGTTTAAAGTAACACCGCATGTTTGACCAACGAGAATACGGAGAATTGCAGGTTACTATTTAAAGTAAGCAGTAGACTTCGAAAGATCTCAAGCAATTGTGGTGATCTGCTTCCTGTTGAACTAACTCTTAGTGTAATCTGCGATTCGTTCGAAGACAATGAGTGAATGGCATCAGGAACAGCTAAGCTTCTTCGAGTTAACAAAAATGTTCAGAATGTTTTCGAGTGTTTCGTCGTTGTGCAACCTATGTCTGAACAGCCTTTGCTTATCGTGCAGAGTCTAGTTCTCGTCACACGCATTGTAAAGGATCCAATGAACGAATCGTTCTTCTTGCACAGAGCATGCTTCATGACGTCACTATCTTAGCCTTTCGTTGGGTTAATGGCGTAAGTCTTGGAGATTTCTCAGCTTTTTACCTCTTCGAGTTTAGTAGTTTCAGATTTCAAAAACTGGAACCGTTTTGAGCGTATATGTTCCAGTTGTTTTCAGACGATAATCGTCTGGTCATCCACGTTCACCCCTCCCCTCCTCTCTCTTATTTCATGGATTCTCATCTCCATCAGGCAACTTTTGTAACTTACATTCCGCTTGTTATTGGTTTCGTAGTGGAGTTAAACGTTATTAGGAGCAGCTTCCCTAGATTTATCCCTAGATTCCTTCCGGAGAAGACTTTGGTGATTCAGGTTTTCTATCCATCTTTGTTTTCGTAGGCTAAATTGGACATAGGTGTGAAAGTCAAGACATTAATGTAGAAGCGTGAGCGAAGCCTTCATTAAAAACGAATGCAGAGGTATGTAGCCTTATCTAAAAAGGAAGTGGCAGTTTGAGAAAACGGGACGAAATCGAGTTTAGGGAAAGCTAGCAAATGTTGTGTTTGTAAGAGTGAACTGGCTTATACGACTTGGCATATGGACAGCTGCAAGACAGCGAAACGATTGAAGTACTACTGGGATGGGACTCATATTATCATATCATGGCTAGCCAGCTACTGTCTACTCATGAAAATTGGGAATAGATCTTCAGTCCGGCCTCACTATTGGAAACGAATGCCTGTGAAGGTTATTCTTCCTTTTTCCCCGTTTGGGATAGATTCATTATCTTCTAATGTTATGAACTGACGGAACAGGTGGGAAGGATTTTTGATGCATCTGTCACACTAGGACAGTAAGGAACGTTATTCGTGGAAATCTACTGTAAAATGAAGAACAACTCTCTGGTTCTTTTCAACAGCTCCATTTTCTCGTCATACTGGCTTCGTACTCTGGTTTTTTAAAATAAACTTGGTAAAACCAACTGTATTTAAGTATTTGTGATAGCAGTGTCAAACTACCGTATTGAGCTATATAGAAGATATTACAAGGTACAAAACGTGAGCTCGGGTTTTCACAACGAACTAAAGTTATTAGTAATGAATAATTCGTAGGTCATAAGCGAGTTGCTTATGATCATATTCGGGTTGGAAGGGTTTCTGACTAGTGGTGTAGTTGAATACTGCGTATACGTATAGGATTATCGCGTTGAGTTACGGAGTTGGTGTGGGTAAAAATTCGTTTTATAACTCAGTTATTTTTTTCCAAATAGTACTTTACTAAATCTCACGACCGACTTTCTATTAACCTCGGCATTGATCGAGCAATTCTTTATATTCTCGTTGAGCAAACACGAGGTTTCTATTTCTTTATTTACGCCCAAGCTGACGTTTTGGCGAATTCCGCCTTCCTCAGAGCATGGAGCGGTCATGTTGACCGGTATCTCCTGCCAAACAGCTCCATAACTAATCCACAATCATAATAATGGTTACAGGTCCATAATTAAAGGAGATACTAGATCGAGATTTCAGTCACATTGGACACCGAATAGGTTCTTTCTTCCTCTTCTTTTTTTGATTGAGATCTTGGTTTAACATTTTCTCTGTTTGGTTCTGGAGGTGTTGACTGGGTGTATAGCCGTCGGCTTGACCTTTCCATGCTCCGAGGAAGGTGAAATCCGTCGAAACGTCAGCTCGTTCGTAAAGAAATAAAATAACACCTCGTGTTTGTTTAACAAGAATATGGAGTAGCTTACTACTTTGTTGTCATATTAGAATGGTCGTGACACGTGTATTTCGCTTAGGGTTCCGTGTCCTCTTACAGCATTTCTATTAAACGCCATGTTTGTAGGAGTGGGATGCTAGCAAAGTGTCTTAGAAGGGTTAATTCACTCACTCAAGTGGGAACTCGCAATTTATCGGCAGAGGTTGGTTTTTATTTTTAGTCTGCCGTTGCATTATATAACATTTTAGTCACAATTAATAGGTTCGACGTGTTGTCCTCATTCCTGGAGATGGAATTGGTCCTGAAATTTCTAAATCAGTTCAGGAGATTTTCGAGGTCAGTTTCTATGTGTCTGGATGAGTGTTCTTAGTCAATGTATTTGTGTTCCTTCTTTTTTTGCCAACACGAGCTGGTGATTTTAAAGGCCGCTAAAACTCCTATAGAGTGGGATCCAGTAGATGTGACACCAGTCAAAGGACGGGATGGAGTTTTCCGAATTCCTTCTCGTTGTATCGAACTGATGCACAAAAACAAGGTTTTTTCATTTTGTTTTATGAATGAGGTATTTTTATACTTAGTAAACTGTGTGAAGAGCATATTTTAGGTAGGTCTTAAAGGACCACTAGAAACACCAATCGGTAAAGGACATCGGTCACTCAATCTCGCTGTTCGCAAGTAACTTTTTTTTCTTGGTTACCATTTACAGGTTTTGTTCCAAAATTTTCGTTTATGGTTCTGTTGATACAAGAGCAATGGAATACGGAGCATTTTTACTGAAATATAGTATGGTAACAGGTGTTCTTATGGTGCTTTAGAGAGTTCAACCTATACGCAAACGTGCGTCCGTGCCGTTCTCTTGAAGGCCACAAAACACTTTATGACAACGTTGATGTCGTAACTATTCGTGAGAACACCGAAGGAGAATACTCTGGAATTGAACATGAGGTAAGCGAAGAAAAACTATGAGACAGTAAAATTTGTTCGTAAATTTGTTGGTTGTCGACCTCTTAGATGGGTTAATCTTCTTTATTTCTTGCAGATTGTACCCGGAGTTGTACAGTCGATTAAATTGATTACACATGATGCTTCACAACGTATTGCAAAGTATGCGTTCGAATACGCTCGACAGAACTCGCGGAAATGTGTCACTGCTGTGCACAAGGGTTCTTTGCTTCGAATTTCTATTTTTCAGTAGTTTTTTGGGAAGGAAACTATGTTTAGCTAATATAATGCGCATGTCTGATGGATTGTTCCTAAAAATTTGTCGTGAACAAGCTGCTAATTATCCTGATATAAAATTCAAGGCAAGTTGTTCTATTTGCTACTTTTAGCCATCCTAGTCTCAAAAACGAAATGTATTTCTTGGGTTATTTCTTTTAAGGAAGCTTATCTTGATACCGTATGTTTGAACATGGTACAAGATCCAGGACAGTACGATGTTCTTGTCATGCCAAATCTCTATGGGGATATTTTATCTGATTTGTGTGCTGGTTTAGTAGGAGGGCTAGGGGTCACACCCTCAGGCAATATTGGAGAGGATGCAGCGGTTTTTGAGTGAGTGTATTTGCCCATAGTTCTTAATTTTTCACTATTTTTTATTTTTATTTATTTAATTTTTGTTGTCTATATATTTTCACACCTGTTCCATCCACCTTTCGTAGACGACGAATTCACTTCAGTACGTGATCTTAAATTGTCACGTCAGAAATGTTTCAAAGTTTCGAAAAAGTTGTTTAATTTACTGCGGAGGTTTTGTGGGACGTGCCAGGCTGAGTTGTGCGTACATATGTATATATCCGTTGCGAATATGTAAAATGCAGTATATATATGTATATATGGGTATAGTATGTACATATATAAATGTACATGTATGCAGTATATATACATATATGTATATATATATATATACATGTATGTATGTGGAGCACATAAAATAGTGACGACGGTCATCACGAGTACGATTTTGGTTCGGTCCCGCTCCATGCTCACGTAGCCTTTTATCTTTTCGGGGTTGTGAAATTGGTACCAGACTTGTCCGAAAAAAAATCGATCAGTATTCAAATTGGAAACGCTGGCTATCTCTGGACTCCAGTGAGGATCGATTTGGCCAGCATTCAACTACATTCATGATGAAAGGAAAGTCGTCAAGCAACAGTCCAAGCCACACATAAAGTTGGAAGATCTTAGTGGATGATGGATGCGAGGAAACGGATCCATTTTGACAAGTGCTGGGATCCGCACAGTAGATGTGAAAGACGAGTCGTGCAAAGTAAATGATAAAAAAAAATATGTATCTGCAAGTGTCAGCATTGAAAACGTTCGTTATTGTGAGATATTTGGGCTAGGGATTTTGTGTTCATCCTAAAAAACTGGTCCCGATTAAAAGTCTGAATATATACGCGTGGTTTTTTTTTTATAACGGAAAGAAATCGTTTCTTCTGCGAGGAAGTTTCATCCGATTTTCAGGTCTGTTCACGGCACCGCACCAGATATTGCTGGTCAAGATAAGGCTAATCCGACAGCCCTTTTGCTGTCCGCCGTTATGATGTTGAGATATATGGATCTCACGTCTTATGCTTCGAAAATTGAGCGTGCTGTGTTCGATTCGATTTCCGAGGGCCAGGCAAAAACAGGAGATCTAGGAGGTAAGACAACTATTTTATTCAATTGTTTATTGAGTAAAGATGTATGAATTTGAGTGGAATGCATGTAAAGGATGCGATAAGGTGTTGCTTTCTTCACATTTGGCAGAGCTATTAGCATTTGTATTCTTGTTATTATTTTTAGCCTTTATGAACGTTTAGTTAACTAATGATTATGAGGCCTTCCTAATTTTCAGTGTAATGTTTATCTGATTCGTAAAACTACTCATCTTTATCCCCAGTAGTGAGCCCAGTAATCAAGTTAAGACTCCGACGAGCAGCAGGAAAGCCTGGATTTGTTTGTTTTGGCTTTCTGAGCTACCATTGGGCTCCATCCAATTCGATATACACGAAGAGCATCACATTTTTTCGTAGAAGGCTCTTTTGTTTTTACTCTTTTTGTGGACGTTTATTTATCCATTGTATTAGAGGCGATCACGAACGGCTTCTCATCCATTTGCCACATTCACTGTATTTTAGGGTTTTGGAGGGTTTTTTTAGGGACATAGATACAGTCCACGTATACCAAAAAACAAGCACATCTGTGGACAGATACAGTGAAGTCTATATGTTTGGTGTTATCCTCAGAAGAGAAAAAGCCTAGTTCTTGAATACAGTGCCTGCACCGCATTGAGTGCTTTCATTACTTTCGATACATATTCTTGGTGATTTGTTAGGTAACCACGTCCTTAACACCTCGCCATTCGTTACATGAGGGAGATCTGTTGCTAACGTCATTTAGCTACAAATGTAAAGTCCGGAAATTTAATTAGTGAGTTTTTGGAAGTGTCTCATTTCTGCTGATGCTAATGGCAGCGATAGATAGAAAACTAGCTGAAAGCAAGGCCCTTAGTGGTGCAGTGTGTTACACGAGAGCCCCTGGAAAGGGTAACCGTCGTTCGATCTGGGCTGCAGTCCTAATTTTGCCAATATCTCAGCATCATTGTGGTTGTCTCATTTCTTTTAATACTTGCTCGAGATAAATTCTTGCTTCTTTCAAGGTACGGGTACCTGCTCTTCGTTCACGGCAGATGTTTGTTCGCGTATTCGAAACATGGATTAGTAATTTGATAGGGTTTATATTGCAATGACTGTGTAGGAATAGGTTCATTCTGATGAAGCTTTTTAAAGACTATTGATTTCGTATTTAGGATCCTTTCAATTTTTCCGATTGTCAGATCATTTCAACGCATTGTTCACGTTGTGTTACTTGTCCAAATTACTAGATAAGACAGAAAAGATGTGTTCGTTAGGATTGGTTTGGTAAATAAGTATAATTTGTCTTCTGTCTATTAATAAATATATTGAAGTATGCATTGCATTGAGTAACTAGGCGTATCTTTCATTTTTGAGCAAGTACGCCTTTGCTCATCTTGTTAAATTTTTGTTGCTTCTCCTTTTCGTTCTAAATTAGCAGTTGAATTCTAGAGAAACACAATTAGTAGAGACAAAGAGACAGAGAGTTGAGAAACATGCAAAGCGAAGGACCCGGATGGTGTGGTGGTGAAGTGCGCTACTCCCCGGTAAGGACAACAGCGCGTGCTCGTTCATTGCATACACCTGTGGTCCGGAGTTTTGCAAATATCTCAGCATTTCATACAATTAGTAGACTTTTTATTTGCTGACTATTACATTTTTTTATGGCACGGTATTAAGTGAAGTGCTGATGGCACTGCTCGATAAAAACTAGCTGAGAGTTGAGCGTAACAAAGGACCAGCATGGTGTGGTGCTGAACGCGTTAGCCCCCGGAAAGGGCAATAACGCGTTCCTTCCCCACTGCACACACCTTTGGTCCGGAGTTTTGCAAACATCTCAGCATCGTTACAATTACTAGAGTCAATCACACTGCACTTTACATTCTTTATTTTTTTTATTCCAACATTTCCACTTCAAATGATGGTATTTGGTATCATAAATTATTGGTGCGTAAGAACAAAATAATTGATGTAGAAAACGCTGAAAACATCACTGTAGACCCGTGAAGATTGAGAGATTAGTTAATCACATCGGAAATGAGAACTGCAGTGAGAATGTCACTGATGAGCACATTTGTCTAGAAAGTTGATGATTTTGTGGTAGAGGTGATTCCGTTTTGAGATCGAGTGGTCCTGATTGGGATAAACCTAAAAGTTGCCATTCTTCACTTTTGCTGATGTCTCTGCTATTTTAACCATTTTATTTTTTGCTGTCTTCAATTGTTGCTTCTGACAGCACAGGTGATTTTCGAGGAGCATTATCACTATAGGGTTTGCTGTGGGCCGGCTACTGTAAAACTGGCTTGTGCGTGGTGATCAGGCCCTGGGATCAGAGTGGCTCTGCAGAACATGAACGCGCCGGAACGTAACCGAATATATTTTTTGCCAACCTCATGTTAATTTAATCATCTAAGAAGATAGTGATTGTTTATGCTGAAGTTTAATGATGGCTGGTTTGCAAGATGTTTACGTACGAGTGTTCATAACTTCGCAGCGGTGCAATAAAAGAAGGAACTGAGAAGAAAAATGGAACACTAATTGCTAAGGCTGCAAAAGTTGGAAAAAGTATCAGTGAAGACCCGCCACTACTTCACATTTGCCATTTAGGTGATTATTCTCCATGGTCTAAACAGTACGTTCAACGGAGAAGGAATAAAGAGGAACACGACGTTCTACGCTGCGCTCTTGCGCAGTTAGACCTAATAAATATCTCGTCCATGGCGAATAGTGCAACCGGGGTGGCAAGGGTGAGGATCTCATCATATGAAGAATCTATCGACAGTTCTTATAGTCGCACTAACACACTTTTTTACATGCCATCTATCTTAATGTATAGTAACCAAGCAATGGGAAACCAACAGGATACTGCTATGAAGAAAGAAGGCCTACAAAAGAATGACAAACTTCCTCAATATTTCCCGTCTAAGAGAACATTAGCAAATTTATTCACAGCAGAATTAGAAGGACACTGGAGGAAAAAAAATCGTCCTAGTGTGTTGATTGCTAAGGAATTCATAATGATGAAGCTTAACTAAGATCGTGATGCATCGCAAGAAGTCCGAGTATGTTCCGTTTTTATCGAATTCAACAGCCTGAGACTTTCAAGACGTAGACAGAGATGGAAGGATTGGACAAACAGTACATCTCTACTCAATATGAACAACTGGGTTCTATAGGATGTGGAGCGACATTACGATCGGGACGTCGCCGTTGTACAACGAGGTTGTCGTTTTTTCGACAATCTTAAAGCATACTGAAGAACGTGAATGTGAAAGATGGTGCGACATGACATGGGGAAGAGATTTAACAACGGTTGAATAGATTAATTCTCTTCACTACTACATAATACCAATCATTAGCAAGTTGGAAAGAGCATTAGATTCCAAAGAAATGTTCGAAGCACGGTCTTCGCTAGGCTTACTAGAAAGCAATATATATAAGAATTTATTGCTGATGCCCATTCATGTTCACCATATCAAATGCTATGCCTATATTTTGTATATCTGGATTGGGTACTAAACATGGAGAATAATTTGCTTTAGAACAGTTCAGAGAAAGTGAGCGACGTAAGAAATTTGGGTAGAGTAAGATCGTGGAGAAACTTCTGCCAGGTGGACTGCTCAATAGTTACTTTAAGAAGCATCCGTGTTAGTAATTTAATGATTCTTGGGCTACGCGGTCTCTTAAGTAGTTTCAATATAATAGTAACAGACGACTAACCATAAGATCAAATTCGATATCAGCCGCTTGTAGAGCTTCCATAAAGAGTGCACTGTGTTGAAAGTGGACGTTATCTGCAATTGTCGTGACTTTTCAGTCTTTTGTCTCTGGGATTGGTTCAAAAACATGGGTATGTGAACTGTAAGAATTCATTTTCACTGACCGTCATATAGTCCGTGGGCAAGAAGGAGATGAGTATTCTTGAAGTTGGAGACATTTCTGATGATATCACCGTTTTCATATGCTACCTTTTCTGCGTCTCCCATATAGCGTTCAGTATAGGCTGCGTCTGGAACCAGCAGCCTTTTTAGCATTTTTGAGAATCTTATATGTTATAAACCATATTAAATAAGAGCTCACAACTTCTTCTGAACTCTATATTATATTAATATAACTTTTATATGCTGTCTATTCTATCATTCCATGATAAGATACGATGTGAAATACAACCACAATGATGCCGAGATATTTGAAGAACTCGGAACCCCAGTCCTCTTCAAACTCTTCACCGAGGGCCTTACATGCTCTCGTAAGGGTGATCGCGGGTTCCGAATCCTATATGAAGATCCTTGTTTTGCTCATATCTTAGCACCTTTGTGATTCTACACTGATTGTTTGTAACATTCGTCTATGGGGCATTTGGTTTGAGGAATGAAAAGAAATGATGCATTAAACCAGTTCTCTAGCAAGGACCAAACACAATCCGAGAAACCACAGTTCTATGAGTCCACTTAATAAACCAATGAACACAGTGCACTCAATAGTAAATGACGTTATTGGAGCTTGATCTCACCATTCTGTTTAAATCCCGATTTATTAAAAAAAAAAAGAAAGATATACCGTAGAACAAGAAATTAGCCACTGGAGCCACAGAAATGGCGCATTTAAAGAATCCAGTCGGTGCTATCTCTGTTGCTTTTGCGGCTACGAATCCACCGTACGACCAACCAAAGATAGAAAGTCGGTTTTTGTCAAGTATTGGGTACTTTTTCGAGAGAATTCTGAAATCACACAGGTATACGTCAAGAGAGAACGATACGATAGTACATGAAGAAGAAATTAATGCATTTTATGTTGAAAATATAAAGTCATGCCTGTCTACTTTTTCGCCGAAAATAGAACCTTCTACAAACATCTGAAGAATCATTTCTGACTTTTCGAATTGGTTTTTGATTGTATTTATTAATGGTATTGAGCGTTGATTGAGTGGTACGGCGTTCCCAGGTCTTCATTAAAGGTCTACACACCATTTCAAACCACTGCATCCCAAACGTCCCAAGTACTGCTAAGAATACATTCTATTGATAGTAATATATATATATATATATGCATATATTTTGCAACTATAACTATTAATAATAAAAATAATGATAGTATGATAAATGATGGCAATAAAAATAGTACTATATGAAGTAATCTAAACAATAATAGATACTTGATACTTGAACGGCCCGTGCTCAATGGTTGTGCGGGCCCCAGCACAACCACCATTTTTCAGAGATTTGCGGGTTAGGCTATTGTGGTTCCCTAGAATCCCGAGGTCAGCCTGGCTAAAGTTTGGTCCAGTTCTTCACCACCACAAGCAGTCGCAGCCCTTGTGGATCAGGGGGAGATTTGCCACCATGCGACTAATTTGCTACCAGGACGGTGGTGGATCCTGGTATTCGTTTATTTATAGCTGGGTGTCTCGTTGGGAACGCAGGACTCCTCATTTTAGGAGACCCTGCTGGGGTGATGAATGCTGGGTAAGGTTGTGATTATAACTATAACCTCAGCTTAACTGGGTTCATTGCCGATTTGGGCTCCCCGGATCATTCCCGTTGACGGGTCATTGCTGATGGCAAAAGATCGATAGAACTAGCTGAGAGACAGGCGAAATGAAGGAACTGCATGGTGTGGTAGTGAACGCGTTACTCCCCGGAAAGGACAATAGCGCGTTCGTCCCCACCGCAGACACCTGCGGTCCATAGTTTTGCAAATATCTCAGCATTATTAAAGTGATGTTTGGATACTTGGATGGCACTTCTTTACTGGCTGTGGGAGCCCCAGAATAATTTCAACTGTGTCGGAGTTTTGCTGATCTAGCCATTGTGGTTCCCTGGAGACCCGAGGTCAACGAGGCCAAGTGTGCCCCAGGGCGTCTCCACCACAGGCAGTCGCCGCCCTTGTGGATCAGAGGGAGATTTGCTACTGTGCGACTAGTTTGGTACCAGGACGGTGGTCGATCCTGGTATTCGTTTATTTATAGCTGGGTGTCTCGTTGGGAACGCAGGACTCCTCATTTTAGGAGACCCTGCTGGGGTGATGAATCCCCCTGTACATTGCAGCCCGACACCCAGGAACACCTCCTAGCCACGATGAGGCGGTAAACAGTTAGGAGGAACAACAATAGATAAAGAAAAGAAGTAGTGACAATTAATATTAAATAGATAGTGGCAAATCAGTGTTCTGGTACAAGAATCCAAAGCATTGCCACGCAGAACTCCTGAAGTGTTTTGGATAAATTCCAGAAATCCAAAAATGAACCGCAAAGAGTGCCCTGTGTTCACGCGTGACGTCAAGCCGACTTTTTAACTTAAGTCAGACACATTCCTCCACAATACAAGACTATGTACGACAGGTCTCCATCAACTGATGGAGTGATGGACTTATAAGAAACAAAATCGTGAGTTTTCGAAGGAAGTTGTTTACGATGCGAATGGAAATTTATATGTTAAGTTTTATTGGCGGAGGTTATGAAAATGTTTGACCGGGTAGACTGCGTGTCAATTTTATGCTTCCATACTTTGAAGAATGTGAAACCACCGAAGGGGCAGCTTGTGTCAATGAATACTGCGTGAATTAGTGAAGAAACACTATAATAGTAATCTCGTGTCTGCTCATCAAGAAAACGGTGACTCACTGAAGAGTTTCAATCTGGTCTTCGATCTCGACAGTTCCCAGTACTTTGTAAATGGGGCTACGATATTTCCAGCCACGAGCGTTCGATCCACGGCCATCTATCTGGAGTTGGGAATTGTCGATCTTGTATCTTCTTTTGATTATTTTTCGAACATGAAGATATGATTCGAGATTTGGAATGTCACACCTTTACCAATGCATAATTTCGATCGCTAACGATGTATTCATCGAATCCAATTGAAAATTCATCGGTAACGATTTGGGAAGTTGGTCCACCATAGCTGAATGCACGTTTACTTTCTACCGTGTTTATCCTTTTGAAACTCATTCTTTACGTTATAACTGGCTTTGTCTTTGTGGTTCTAGAACTACATATTAGGCTGGTCGAAGTATTACGAAGTTTTATCAATATATATGTATACATATATATATATATATATATCACGTATCCTGCTCAATGAGGGATTCCCATCTGGTTGGTTATGGGGTTAACTAGAGCATGTCCTGGTGGTGGAATAGGACTTAATCGCAGACCAAAAGCGACCTTTGCTTTTCTGAGGCCCGGGTCTACACGGAGAATGGACGCCCTTTTTTCGATGCTCCGATTTAGCACATTGCTTCTGTGTTTGAGAGGACGTGTTCATGCATGCGTGCATGGGTTTGTTCTCGTTTGTGCGGGTTGTATTCCACGAAACTATTTGGCCAAAAACCGGCAATCAAGTGACAAGAAGTATATGGGAGATACGGTTAGGAGTCGGCTCCAACCAATAAGCTCCACGTCTACTCTGGTAGAGACTGGTTAGCGATCCGTGAATATATTCAACTTCCACGTTCAAAGCTAAACAAGTTAAGCATGGGTATAAATAGCTAAACAAAGTAAAGCAAATGCCCATTGCTACCCTGAACCCAAAAGAATTTCACATTTTCACATAGCAGCGTTGAGTGGCACAAGTAGGGAAGAGTTGCAATGTCTTAAGCTGGTTAGATCTGGAAATATATTAATGCAACGATCTGTACTTACAATGCACGTTAACTGCAGTCTGAACCCTTCAATGAGGAAGTGATGTTGCATGGTAAAAACATCAAGTACGACAACATTGACTTGGCTGAGGCAAGAAGGCGCCGTCCAATTAACATCGTTAATGATATCGGAGAGAAGTCTTCCTTGGATCATGTACCAATAGAGCACGTGGGAGCGTTGAGTTCGTCGTCATCGCTACTTTGGACATTAACATTTATCTCTTTGAACAGCCTACTTATAATGGATATTTGGACAACCCATCTTCACGACTACTCAGAGGACCTCAGAACAATTTCCACTCGTTCTTTTCTCGCGCAATCATTGCCCTTGGTGGTGGTCTGTTTCAAACATGGTAACATCGGCGAGGCACATTCCATGATCCTAAAGTCGTTCCAATCTGCGAATGCAGATAGTCGACGCATGCCACGAACACGTGCACCTATCGTTTAGATGGTCTCGTAAGAGAACGCGTGTATTCTGTTGGAGTCTACCCCATTATTTCCGTCCGTCTTTCATCTTGTCTTATTATGTGATCAGCTAATTCTGTTGAGGTGTATCTTCCTGCGTTTTGAAGGTGAGATAGGTTCCGAACAACTGATCTGCGCACTCTGGCTATACATTGTGAATGCCGGTTAAATTTCAGGAGACATTATTCAAGCACTCTGTAGATTTTGCGCAGAATTTTTCACTTGGTTAAGATGTTATTCTAGATACCAGGTTTATCATTACGACCAAGATCTACAATTCCCGAAACCCACTCTCACCGTTTAACGGAGAGCTTTCCCAATAGAGAGTAGCATAATGAGATAGACCACATTGCCACAATGCAAAGATTTTGCCTGGGCGATGTCGCTGTTGTCTCAAAATTTTAAACAGGATTGGACGATCGCCTCTTTGGTGTAACTCTTTTTCGCAGAAAGGAGAGAAAGGCGCAAGGTTCAGAAAACGGACCCCAAAAACCGCTAAAAGCTGGGATTTATTTAGATTATTTCACTGCTTTTGGAAAGATGCAGTCGGTCAACATCTTCACATCTGATTTTATTGGCGCCTGATCGAGTTACTAGGCGATCGGAGGAAAGATAGGTGATATCGGTGATCTTATCAGCGTACTTTATAATCATATGTCCTTGGTGGAGTGATACTAACTTTTGCTATTTCTTTGCTCTTGAGGAATTGGATTGCTGTCCTTAAATTAAATTAAATTAAGATTGGATTGCTTTCCTCAGAAACACTTAGTTTTTCTTAAACCTTCAGTATCGTCAGCATCTTTAGCTCACGTCAAATAAACTTGTGGAACCTACACTTTTAGCAAAACTGGTAGAGTGCGAGAAGTGGATCTTAATCTTTGTTCGGTTGGTAGAAGGATTTGCACGCGAGCTTCTGGAAAGATGCGAGTTAGCATGACTCTTCGAGAAATCCTTGTTTTACTATTTTTCTGCTTTTGTAATCCGATTAGATTTCTTGGTGTACCAGTAGTTACCAGTAACATCTGAGCAGTTTGGTAGCTTATTACTATAACAACTACTCTCTATCACAACAAATACTCTCCATATCTTTATATTATCATGTGTTTCTTATGCTGTTCTTGTACTATTCCACACACTATGTGGTCATCTGAGATATAATATAACTTCGTCTGTATTCTTGGGTTTAAAAACAGCTGTGGTTTTTGACTCGTGACATGTTTTTGGCCGCTTTGAACTGTAGCAGTTAGTATCTGTCCTAAGCGCTCATTTATTGCTTGCTCTAAAGATCTCGAAGCATGGAACTCTCCATCTTGATGTAAGATGTAGCTGCTTCGATCACCAGGAGCAGTCCATTACACTTCCCTTTTATGCCAAGCCATTATTTGCACTCCTTGCTCTTACGCATCTCCTTCTACGAACGCTTTCTTGGTCCAACAGTATTGTTCGCATGGTATGCTATTTTTTCGTAATCTTAGTTAAGCAATCTATTGCAGAAGCTGTTTTCCCACGTTTTCAACGTACGTGTATCGTTTCTTAATAGTTTATTTCTGCGTGTCGATATATATATAGAGAGAGGGAGAGAGAGAGAGAGAGAGAGAGAGAGGATGCTCTCGGCGTTTATCAATC